TTTTTTGGCCGAAGCTCCTCTAAACAGAGACTCAACGACTTTTGAAAGTAAATTGCTCCTCTAAACAGAGGCAACGGACTTTGGAAAGTAAATTGCTCCTCTAAACAGAGGCAACACGACTTTGGAAAAATAAATTGCTCCTCTAAACAGAGGCAACGGAACTTTGAAAAATAAATTGCTCCTCTAAACAGAGGCACCACGACTTTGAAAAGTAAATTGCTCCTCTAAACAGAGGCAACGAACTTTGAAAAATAAATTGCTCCTCTAAACAGAGGCACCACGACTTTGAAAAGTAAATTGCTCCTCTAAACAGAGGCAACGAACTTTGAAAAATAAATTGCTCCTCTAAACAGAGGCAACGAACTTTGAAAAGTAAATTGCTCCTCTAAACAGAGGCAACGAACTTTGAAAAATAAATTGCTCCTCTAAACAGAGGCACCACGACTTTGAAAGTAAATTGCTCTCTAAACAGAGGCAACGAACTTTGGAAAATAAATTGCTCCTCTAAACAGAGGCAACGAACTTTGAAAAAGTAAATACTCCTAGACGATCATGTCCGAAGGAGTTGAAAGTTGTGTTTGAAGGGATTTCAGGAGATTATGCCCAAAGGTCTTATAAATCAACCCCGATACCAAGAGACATCCTATTTCAAGGATTAGGAACTTACCTGACAAGTTTCTTCTCAAACTTGCAAAGTCTTTTCATATCTGTCTTTTTCATGTGGGATGTTGGAACACCCCTGCTTCTTGAATTTGTACACTATACTTTCTTGAAAGTAGTGTATGCTATGCAAATGCATATGAATTTCAATGCATGCTATGCAAATGTTGGTCAATTAATTCCTGTTCAATGTATGGTACTCAAGTTTCTCAAGCTCTTTTTTTCTTGGGTGTCAAGCCCTTTGATTCCTCAAGGATCCAATTGCACTGCTCTTCTAAGATCGAACCAGTGTAGCTCTCAATTGTCTCTTCCACTCACATTCTTCTTGTAAGAAATCTCTTCCTAGATTCAATTTCCTAATTAGGAACTGAACATGTCGATTCTGCCTTTCTCACTCTTGACTCATTCAATGTAATGTAAAAATCTTTCCTGTGGTTATTCATTCATCAATCATTATTTCAAATTCAAAAAGTAAGAATGCATTTGCACATTTCTTCAATGGTGGGGTATTAAGAAGAAAAGAATCTGAATGTTGAGAAACAGTCATAAGAAAAAAGACACAAAGAATGGAATAGAATGTCTCTTATTAGCAAAATGTTGGCAAACTTTGGTCAAGAAAGAATTACAAGGATAGGTATGGGGACAAAGCCCAAAATGAACAATCAGATAATCATGATAACACATCTCAAAGTCTTTTATGAAAACTCAACCCTCTGATGTATTTAACAACTTGGAACTCTTCCGAACTTGCTAGCCCCTATATCAGCAGACTTTTAAATTCGATGCCGTATCCTCCTTATCTAAGCTGCCTTTTCAGGTTTTCAACTTAGACAACCCCCTATGACTCAAACCGCCCTTTTTGGGTTTTCGCCTTGAGTCCTCCTTTTTCATTCACTTTTTCTTTTTTTCCATTTTTTCCATTTTTTTTTCATTTTTCATCATTTTTCATTTTTTCCATTTTTTCATTTTTTTTATTTTTTTATTTTTTTGTATTTTTTTCAAGCATAGTATTTCTTCACAGCATCAGAATTTACAGGATGGGGTAAATCGTTTCCATCCATCTCAGTCAGTATCAATGCTCCACCCGAAAAAGCCCGTTTCACCACATACGGCCCTTCCCAATTCGGAGTCCATTTTCCTCTACTATCGTGCTGGATTGGGAGAATTCTTTTCAAAACCAACTCTCCTTCTCGAAAGCAACGAGGCCGAGTCTTCTTATCATGAGCCCTCATCATTCTTCTTTGGTATAACTGACCATGGCACAGTGCAGTCAATCTCTTTTCTTCTATGAAATTTAACTGCTCATAACGTTCTCGAATCCATTCAGCCTCTTCCAACTCAACTTCTTTTAAGACTCTCAAAGAGGGGATCTCTACTTCCACTGGTAGTACAGCTTCCATCCCATAAACCAAAGAAAATGGGGTTGCCCCAGTAGAGGTGCGAACTGACGTTCGATATGCAAGCAAGGCAAATGGCAACTTCTCATGCCAATCTTTGTAAGTCTCGGTCATCTTCTCCAGAATCCTCTTTATGTTCTTATTGGCTGCCTCAACTGCTCCATTCATTTTCGGACGATAAGGTGCCGAGTTATGATGCTTGATCTTGTATTGAGCACATATTTCTTGCATCATCTTACTATTTAGATTCTTGGCATTGTCTGAAATAATTCTCTCCGGAAGTCCATATCTACAAATGATCTCTTTCTTTATGAACTTGCAAACCACGGAGCGTGTCACATTTGCATATGATGCTGCTTCCACCCACTTTGTGAAGTAATCTATCATCACAAAAATGAATCTGTGCCGGTTAGAAGCTTTTGGAGTGATTGGACCAATGACATCCATGCCCCACATTGAAAATGGCCATGATGGTGCCATAACATGTAAAGCAGATGGTGGAGCAAGGATCTTATCAGCATATATCTGGCATTTATGACATTTACGAGCATAGTCGATGCAATCATTCTCCATCGTCAACCAGTAATATCCCGCTCTCATGATCTGTCTTGCCATCATATGTCCACTAGCATGTGCCCCACATATTCCCTCATGCACCTCTTTAATGATTTTCTTCGCTTCAGTCTCATCTACACACCTCAATAATACTTTATCTTTACTTCTTTTGTACAGGACATCCCCATCCAGGAAAAAGCTCATAGCCAATCTTCGGATGACCCTTTTATCATTTTCTGTTGCATGAACTGGATACTGCTGATCCTTGACATACTGTAAGATGTCATAATACCAGGGTTTTCCATCTCTTTCCCCCTCTACATTAGAACAATACGCTGGTATATCCTTAACATCTAACTTGATGGGCTGAATGTCCGTATTATGATTAATTCGAATCATCGCGGCCAGAGTAGCCAATGCATCAGCAATCACATTCTCTTCCCGGGGTAAGTGATCGAACTGGACATCTTCAAATTGTTTTGTCAGCTCTAGAATATACTTATGATACGGAACGAGTTTTGAATCTCTCGTCTCCCATTCTCCTTTCAACTGGTATATGACTAGAGCTGAGTCTCCAAATACTTTCAGTACTTTCACTCTTCTTTCTATAGCAGCTTGCAGGCCCATGACACATGCCTCATACTCAGCGATGTTATTTGTGCAATTAAAATTTAACCTCGCTGTTACAGGATAGTATTGTTCTTCTGGAGAAATCAAAATTGCCCCAATTCCATGCCCCAAGGCGTTAGCAGCTCCATCAAAGTACATTCTCCAACATCTTTCCATATGCTCCCTTTCCTCCAGTCGGGAAATAGTCATTAAGTCTTCGTCAGGGAATTCCAGCTTCATCGGCTCATACTCTTCAGTAGCACGATCTGCAAGAAATTCTGCTATAGCGCCTCCTTTTATTGCTTTTTGGCTCACATATATAATGTCATATTCTGAGAGCATTACTTGCCATCTAGCGATTCTTCCTGACAAAGAAGGCTTCTCGAAGATATACTTAATTGGATCCAATTTTGCTATGAGCCACGTAGTGTGATAAAGCATATACTGTCTGAGTCTTTTGGCAGTCCACGCTAATGCACAACACATTTTCTCCAATGAAGAATACTTGGATTCATATTCCGTGAACTTTTTACTCAGATAGTAAGTAGCTCTCTCCTTTCGGCTAGCTTCATCTTGCTGCCCCAGCACACATCCCATTGAATTTTCATTTACAGTTAGGTACAGAATTAAAGGTCTTCCTGGAACAGGTGGCACCAATATTGGAGGGTTCGATAAATACTGCTTAATTTTATCAAATGCCTCTTGACATTCTTCGTTCCATTTCCCAGGATTATTCTTACGGAGAAGCTTAAATATGGGATCACATTTGTAAGTAAGCTGAGAGATAAACCGAGAGATGTAGTTCAATCTCCCCAGAAAACCTCGAACTTCTCTTGGCGTGCTGGGAGGTGACAAATTTTGGATGGCCTGTATCTTATCGGGATCAACTTCAATTCCTCTTTCACTGACCACAAAGCCTAGCAACTTCCCTGACTTTACCCCAAAGGTGCACTTGGCTGGGTTTAATTTGAGCTGAAATTTCCTTAACCTCTCAAATAACTTTCTGAGGCTAGTAACATGATCTTCACCCTCACAAGACTTTGCAATCATATCGTCTACATACACCTCAATCTCTTTATGCATCATGTCATGAAAGAGTGTTACCATAGCCCTTTGATATGTTGCCCCAGCATTCTTTAACCCAAAAGGCATGACTTTGTAGCAGAAAGTTCCCCACATGGTCACAAAAGTAGTCTTTTCCATATCATCTGCAGCCATTTTTATCTGATTATACCCCGAGAAACCATCCATAAAGGAGAAAATCGAATGCTTAGCTGTGTTATCTACCAGTGTGTCGATATGAGGTAAAGGAAAGTTATCCTTTGGGCTAGCCTTATTCAAATCCCGATAGTCTACACACATTCGTACTTTTCCATCTTTCTTAGGAACTGGGACTATATTGGCTACCCATTCTGGATACTTGGCCACTTGCAGAAAACCTGCATCAAATTGTTTCTTCACCTCCTCTTTAATCTTTAGCAGCATTTCGGGCTTCATCCGTCTCAGTTTCTGCTGAACGGGCTTACATTCTGACTTTAGGGGCAATCTGTGCTCCACTATCTCTGTGCTCAGTCCTGGCATATCCTGGTAAGACCAAGCGAATATATCTATAAATTCTTGAAGTAGGTCTGCCAACCGTCGCCTATCTCCAGATGGAAGTGAAGTGCCCATTCTAACTGGTTATCATGATTATCTTCTTGTTCATTTAAAGACCTGAAATTGAATGAAATGGGATATGTTGGCAAGATGTGTTTGAAAGGTGAAAATAATGAAGGCATGAGAAGAAATAAATGTAAATGCATCCTCCCTATTTTTTATTAAAAATAATAAATGATGAATGGCCCAAACAGAAAGGATCACCCCATAGCCTTGGGCAAAAGCTATTGAGATGTTACAATTACATTGAATCAAAATCAAAAGTCAGAGGCATTTCAATGGCACTCCAATTGTTCAGCTCATAGTCTTGTGGACAAAGGCGAACCCATTCTTCTTTGTTGAGCCCCACTTCATCTTCAATAGCATTAATGGCTAACTGGGCAAAGTCCTCTTCCACACTTTTCTTTGCATCTGGGTTCATAAATCCTCCAGGTCTGAAGGTTTCGTACAATTGTGGGATAAACATCAGTCTTGCTGTCTTTCTTGATGGCCTTCTTTTGACTTCCCACTCTGCCATCTCGTATCCTAAGCCTGCCCTGTCGCTATTGTCCGCTATTGTCGGAGGTTCTTTAATTCCCTGCAAATTTTTGCCTAGCCCAAGTCCTGGACACCAGCCTTTGTTGATGACTTGGCTCACCACTATCTTTGAAAAAGGCTGACTTTGAAATCCTTCACCTACAGTATTGACCAATTCAAAAGATCGATAGGAGCACTCCAATGCTTCTTCGGCAGCCTCTACATATGGAGTGTTCAATGGTTGGGTCACTAGCATGTCTTCCTCCCCAACTACCACTACTAATTGACCTTTCACATTGAATTTGATCTTTTGATGCAAAGTAGAGGGTACAGCTCCTGCCATGTGAATCCATGGCCTTCCTAACAGACAGCTGTAGGATGGAGAGATATCCATCACTTGAAATGTTATATTGAAGGTGCACGGCCCAATTTGTAAGGGCATCTCAATATCCCCCAGGACTTCTTTTCTGGTTCCATCAAAGGCTCTCACAATCATCTGACTATCTCGCATATGAGAATAATCGATGGGTAGCCTTGCCAAAGTTGACATAGGCATGACATTGATGGCAGAACCATTATCGATAAGGACTTTAGCTATGATATGGCTCTGGCACTTTACTGTGATATGCAAGGCCTTAGCATTTCTCTTTCCCTCCAAAGAAATCTCATCATCACTGAATGAAATGTGATTTGGCATGACTAAGTTTCCAGCCAAGTGATTCACATATTCGACAGACACGTTATGTGCCACGTATGCCTGATTCAACACTTTCAGCAAGGCATTTCGATGTGGCTCTGAATTCAGCAACAGTGATAACAATGAGATTCGAGCTGGCATTTTATTCAACTGTTCCACAACTGAATATTCACTATGTTTTACCAGCTTCAGGAATTCACAAACCTCCCTTTCTGATACTGGCTTTGGCTGATCTTCTTCAGGCTCTATCTCTGGATTATTTCGTCTTTCTCCTTCTTTAGCCTTCTCTCTTCTAGCCTTCTCTAGCATTTCTGGGGTGTAACATCTCCCACTTCGAGTAATGCCTCCTACACCAGTAATGTTAGAAGCATCGGCTTTGGAGACCTCTTCTTTTTGCCCCTGCACTACAGCGTCACATCCATATCTCCAGGGTACAGCTTTATCATCTTTGTATGGGAAAGGAGTTGGGACTTTAAAAGTTACCGGCCTAGGAGGAGCTTGTCTATGACTGATTTTGGTTTGTTTCACACCGAATTGTCACTGGTTTGGGAAACAGCTTTTCAGGCTATCATTCATGCACACTTCAGCATTCTTCAAGCTTTTTTTTCTTCGTAGAGTCTATCTGATGTGAATTCAGGAGTTTTTGCACCTCTCGGTGAAATTGTTTACAGGTCTCAATGGAGTGGCCTCTTGACTAGATACTACAACTTAAGCTGATAGTTGGACTTACCAGTTGCATCATGTCTGCCTTTCGTAACATCAAACAACTGATCGAGAGGTGTCTTAATATCTACACTTCTTTCTTCACATGGCGCTCATGCTCTTCACCTATAGCATTCACATTATGATTTGGCAAAGGATTGCCACTAACATTTGGTGCAGTCATCCCTCCAGTATCAAAGCAAATCATCCCATCCTTAATCAATCGTTGCACTTTATATTTCAGGGTAGTGCAATTTTCGGTGGAGTGACCAGCAATCCCATAATGGTAGTCACAGTGGGCAGTGGGATCATACCACTTAGGGTAAGGTGGCTTGAGGGGTTCCAATTTACTTGGAGCAATCAAATGATTGTTGTAGAGCTCCTTGTATAATTCCGTATAGGTCATGGGAATAGGGTCAAAAATAGGTCTTTCGCGAGTGGTTCGTTGCTCCCGCGAGCCACCAGCAGGGTTAGTTGGGCGAATTTGTGGTTTTGGGGTGGGTTGAATGTTAGAACTGTACATGGTGTTTTGGGGTCTATGAGAGGTTTGATAGGTTTGGGGGTATGGTGGTTGGTATGGGTGAAAAGAAGTGTTATTTACAGTGGGGTGATAGGGCAGATATTCTGGTGGGGGGTAGGGCGAATAACCCCTAAGTTGCTGTCTATCAAAGCTCACAGCCTGAGCTTCAGTTTCTTTTTTCTTTGGGATTCTTTTGCTAGATGCTTCATTCCCTTCTAGCTTGCCATTCTTGATGGCACTTTCAATGATTTCTCCTGAAATTACCATATCGGCAAAATTCTTTGTTGCATTCCCTATCATCTTTTCATAATAGGGAGGTTTTAAAGTGCTAACAAATAGCACTGTAGTTTCTTTCTCGGTCAGAGGAGGCTGTACCTGAGAAGCAATATCTCTCCACCTCTGGGCATACTCTTTAAAAGATTCGTTTGTCTTTTTCTCCAGATTCTGTAAAGACAAACGATCTGGAGCCAAATCGATGATATGTCGGTATTGACTGATAAAGTCATGCGCCATATCGCTCCAAGAGCGAATGCGAGTCCTGTCCAGTTGAACATACCATCTGGCCGCAGAACCAGTAAGACTGTCTTGAAAAACATGCATCAAGAGTTTCTCATCCTGTGCATGAGCTGCCATCTTCCTGCAATACATGGTGATATGGGTTTTGGGGCACTTTGTACCATCATATTTTTCAAATTTTGGTACCTTGAACTTATGGGGGATAACCACATCAGGAACTAGGCAGAGCCCCGCAGCATCAACTGACCCATAGAAGCTAAATCCTTCCACGGCCCTTAGCCTTTGCTCTAGCATGCTAATCTTGGAACTCTCCTCAGCTTCCACTCTCATCTTTTCCTTCTCCTTCTCTTTTAAATCATCTAGATCAGGAATTGGTTCTACTGCCTTTTCAGTGAAGACAGGATTTATATAACTGTTATACTGCCCTGGGTTGAAAGTTGATGGCATTCCAGGATATGTTGGATATGCGAAATGTTGTGGTGGGACCTCTTGGGCAGACGGAGCTTGAGGCGGGCCAAAACCTGGAGGGTACAAAGGGTCAGCCACTTCTTGCTGGCTTGTACTTCCTTCAACTCCTTTTCCTTTGTTCATGTTATTTAGAGCCTCCAGAATCTTGCTTAGCTCACTTTCAATCTTCTCCTGAGCTTTTTCTAGCTTTTCGAATCTATGAGAATTTTCCTGCTCCATTTGCCTTGCTCTGGATCTTGTGTTGAAACGATGGGCAGGGTTTTCGCTAGATGGAGCTATCCTTGGAACCTTGAGTACCATACCTCAGAATTAGTAACTTTGCATGATTATCACATGGTTAAAGTGTAATGAATGAGAATGCAATGAATGAAAAATGCATGTATGCAGAGAACATTTGCCTTAAAACGGTATTCAACTAAAAAAATTTCATTTATTCCAAAAAACTTTGATCTACATTGAGTTTATCCCTCTAGAATTATAGCCATAAAATTGTTTGATCTGTTCATACTGGGCTTTGGCTTCTTCTATGAAGTTCAACAGACGCTGTCCATGTTCTCCTACTGGGGCCACCACTTGTCTTAATGCTTCTGCCTCTTCCACCATCTCTCTTGCCTTACACACCCCTTTATGGATCTGGGTTGTTAAGTGCTCAATGTATTTTTGCCTTCCTAGGTTCTCTCTTTTACCACACCAGACTTGGTATGATAATTCTCTATGTTCTCTGACCAGTGCAGCGATGCGATCTCCTTGTTCTTCCAACCTTTGACTTAGCCCGCTCAAATAACTGTTCAGCATGTTAAGTTCTGCCTGTGCTTCGGTACTTTCTTCTTCCAATTCGGTATACTCTTGCTTCAATCTTGTATTTTCCTCAGTCAGCTCGGTAATGGTTATCCCTTTGGCTCTTTCCCTCACACATAGCCTCTTATGCTCCTGGTGTAACTTTGCTAGATCTTCAGTAGCTGTATCACGTTCTCTAGCAATCTTGTGAACTTCAACTTCATATCTTTCGGCTCTACCTTTCCACTGGGCTTTTTCTTCTTGAAGTTTCTGAATCTCTTGCTTTAACTGGCTCTTTTCAGACTCAAATTCTTTTGTTGTCAGTTCTAACTCTGATGGTGTCTCTTCAAGTCTTTCTTCTGTTGGTGGTTGAGAGATTTCATAAGTGAATACCATTTCTTGTCTTCTCTTTGCTCTCCAAACCAAGTAACCTGGGGTGACTTTTTCAGTGAATGGTCCAGGACTCACTCTTTGGGGATTTTTCCATGCTTTGATCATCTCATTCATCCTCTGAAATGCTTTAGGCTCACTGTAAGAGAAATCTAACTGATGAAGCCCATAAGTCACAGGAATGAACTGTTCTCCCCCCAATTGCCTCCTTACTAGGAGCGGTGCATAATTCGTCACTCCCCATAAACCCAGAAGTGGAACCTCTGTACTATCCCCACATTGGTATAACATAGGCTCACGATTCATCCATGGGGCTAACCATCTCACCCTGGCACTTTCCAATTTTTGTAAGAAAGTTATCCATTCTTGTTTAGACCTCCGCTTTGACCAACCACTTTCGCAGAATTCCTTGATCGGAAAGCGATTACGGATATAAATCTTCGAGAAAGCACCATTTCCATGTTCGAAATGGCTTTTCATCCACACATACAATAACTGTATGCATCCTATGAAGCGCCCTCCATTCCGACGACAATAACTCAAGGATCTGATAGTCTCTGCTAATATCACCGTTGAGGGATTACAGCCATTGATCACACTCTCGAAGAAATCAACTACCTCTATCTCAATATGTCCCAAAACCTTTGGAAAGATTACCAGTCCGTATATAGCCAAGGCAAATATGTCCAACCCCCGTTCTTCATTGGCATGTTGCATCAGAAACTCATGAAAGAACTTCCAAGGTAGGCAGACCTGTTCCTGTTTCTTCTTTGTATGAGAATCCACAACTTCCTTGTTTATCCCCATGAGTTGAGCCAGACTTTTACGAAATCCTGACTTATGCTTTTTGACATATATCTTGTCAGGAGTCTTGAGATACAAACCCAACAAGACCGAATATTCTTCTATGGTGGGAGTCATATCAACTTCATTAAAGATGAAACACCTGTATGTAGGATCCCAGAATTGTGTTGCAGCTCTAATTAGTTGATCATCAACAGCCACTGCTAGAAGGTGTGCTATATGCCCATGTTTCTGACAAAACTGCTCTTGTCTTGACGGACTCATCTTCTTCCAGATGTCAACCAAATCTTCTAAATTATTCTGTTTGAGGAGGATAGATGTTTCTTGAGACAGAGTAGACTCATACCCAATTGGCAAGCAATCTCCCATCTTCAGTTGGGTCTTTTCTGACAAGGCCCTTACCTCATTAGGTGTCCCACAGGGTGCTAATACTGATGAAGAACAAACTAGGCGTTCATTGGTGTCCATGAAAAAAATTTGTTGAAGACCGTTTTTCAGGCAAATGTTCTTTATGCAACTTTATGATGTGCACATGAACCAATGCAAAAGAAAAAAAAAAAGGTTAGTATACCCAGAAAAAGAATAAATAACTAAATAAATTTAAACATCACACAAAGTAAAAAGGATGAATCCTATGCTTTTGGTCAATTCTAACAGGGAAGGGTGATGGCTCTATCTATGGGTTAGGCACTCTTAAAGTTCACTATATGCGGTTTTAGGGTCAAAGTCTAAAGGTCCTCAAATTGTTCCTTACATCCTTGTCCATCACAGACTAGTAAGGCACCCTAATCCTCACCCATTACAGGCTACAAGCGGAAAAGGTTCAATTTGAGTGGGAGTATTTCGCTAGCCACTGCGGAGGCATTAGACCTCACGAAAGCAATAGGTACTTTACTCCCTCCTAAAGGGACGGAGCTCGGGTGTAGAGCTCATGTTATGCACATGCATATGAATGACATAATTAACAGACATGAATGAATAATAATACATATATACAAAAAGGTTCAATTTTATTAGGCTTTTGGATAACACAAATTATTTGCTGGCCTGACTCTCAAGGTCCCCAGTGGAGTCGCCAAGCTGTCATAACGTATAGATCCGGGGATCTATCGCCGGACATTGACTTTAGGGAGTCGCCACCAATCTTTTTTTATCCAGGTGTGATTGGCCACCTAAGGAATCTGTCCTTTCAAGGAACACCTAAGCTTAAGGGTCCCTAAAAGAATAGGTTCAGGTCTACAAACCAGAACAGGGTTCGAGAGTTCGGTTACGTGTGAGGAAGGTTATAGCACCCTCACAACGCCCATCAAAAGATGGTACCAGCTTGAATTTGTGTTATCCAAAAGCCTTAAAATTTTACCAAGTAGTTAGTTGTTGAAAATTATTCTCAATTGACTCTAATACTTTTAGCAAAAAATTGAGAAAATTCCCTCACCTCAAGAGTATGCAAGAAAAACTACTGTTTCACTTGCAGGGGCTCCGTCGTCGGATTTATTAAAGAAAAAACGAAATCATCCAATTAATTATTGGAAATTATTCTCAATTAACTCTAATACTTTTAGCAAAAAATTGAGAAAATTCCCTCACCTCAAGAGTATGCAAGAAAAACTACTGTTTCACCTGCAGAGGCTCCGTCGTCGGATTAATTAAAGAAAAATCAAAATCATCCAATTAATTATTGGAAATTATTCTCAATTAACTCTAATACTTTTAGCAGAAAATTGAGAAAATTCCCTCACCTCAAGAGTATGCAAGAAAAACTACTGTTTCACTTGCAGAGGCTCCGTCGTCGGATTAATTAAAGAAAAAAAAATCAAAATCAGCCAAGTAATTAATTATCGGAAATTATTCTCAATTGACTCTAATACTTTTAGCAGAAAATTGAGAAAATTCCCTCACCTCAGGAGTATGCAAGAAAAACTACTGTTTTTACTTGTAGAGGCTCCGTCGTCGGATTAATTAAAGAAAAAAGAAAAAAAAATCAAGATCAAAATCAAAGTCAAATAAAAAAATTCAAAAAAAAAAAAAAAAAAAAAAACCTGGAGCGGCTCGGATCGCGGCTCGGCTTGGGCTCGGCTCGGCTCGGCTCGGAGGGGCTGAAACGCGCGGGTCAGAAAGCGGGTCGACGCTTCGGGTCGGGTCGGGTTCGGCAAAACGCGCGGATCCTCTTATTAACTTAAAGCCAAAACGACGTCGTTTTGGGAGGGTATAAAAGGCACTTTCCTCCGTTTTTCAGCAGACCGTTCCTCCCCTCTCTCTCTCTTCTTCCCTTCTTCTCTGCCTTCTCTCTAGAATTTGAAGAACGCTGGTGCCGGATTCTGGGAATTTCGTCGGAATCTGGGAATTTCGCCGGAAATTGGCCGGAAGTTGGCCGGATGGTCGCCGGTTTCTGGGATTCTCCGCCGAAAACTGGGTCTGTAGCCGGAAACTTCAAAGTTCGCCGGAATTGTCGCCGGAAAATTCAAAAGTCGCCGGAATTTCCGCCGGAATCTGGAAATTTCCCAGAAATTTCCAGAAAATTTTTTCGCCAAATTTTTCTAAAAAATTTTTCTCACTACCAGAACACTCCTAAACTTTTCCTTAGCTCTCTAAACACCCCTATTCTCTCAATCAGTAGCTTTTGCTTCTGTTTTCTGTGTGTTTTTGACTGTTCCAGGGGGGTCCCTTTTATAGGGATTGATCAGGAGTTTCTGATCAATCCCAATTCCTCTTTGGACGGGAATTCAGTCTTTGAATCCAATTGGACTCTTCTGATTGAA